TGTCTTTCCATGGGGGGAAAAAACATCCAAACTCATAATTCGTGTATAATGCGCACCCCCTTCTACACAGCTGTGTTTTTTCGAAAAAAAGTGCGCACTATACTCAAGAAAATACGGTAAATGCTATGGGATGAAGCGGAGAATATATATATGCTTTATAACATAGGATGTACTCCGAAAAGTTGTGTTCATCATAATAAAGAAGTTGACATCCATTAATTCTCTTCCTTATGTGTATCACTTCTAAATGCCTTTCAAAGACTTGAGATAGTTTGAGTCACTGACGAAGATTATATAGTGCAGTGGACCCGGCATAACAATATACTCCAATATAACTTATCCTGCATTACTGAGTACTCCTGAATGCATATACTGCTGGTTTTTGGAAGAAAGACAGACTGTGAGATCCAGCTGCTGAATAAAAGTTGTTCATACCTGTAGCTGGCAGCACCCTCGCACAGTTGGCACATGACCAGGAAGCGATGACGTCACATAAGAGTACATTAGTACTTGTCACTTACACGGACAGGCTTACTGCTGGAAATAATACCTATTGTTTTTGCTTGTTACTTTGCTGCTTGGTTTCTAAGTTCATCGTTTGCTAATATATTGTCTTCTGTTTATGGTTTCTGCCCATACTTATTTATAACATTCTATCACTCGTTCGTGGCTCTAGTCACGGTAATTTGTGGGCTTATTGTTGTTCCATCCGTCAATTTGAATTTGCCACATGGCCACGCATTCGTGTCTTGCGTTCTTAGTTCTTTCATTTGGCTTGGGTAATCCATTAATCTGTTTCACCTCATGTTTGTGTGTTCCTTTTTTCACCAACTTTTGTGTAATTGTTTGTGCGAATAAACTTTTAAATGTTGCCTCCTGTTTCCTGTTGTGTTCTCCGCCCTGATTGTATGACATATTGTTCTCCATCAGTGCAGTGCAGCTATTGCAATCCTTTGTCACCGTCTTTCTTCAACCTTTATTTACGAGTAACCAGGAAACGTGTCATCCAACAGGCTCGTCGACACCCTCAGATGGCTAACACCATGGAGACTCCCTCCCTCATTGAGACCTACGCCCTTTTGCAATCTCCTATGTCTGTCCTGCCTTCATCTTTATTGATGATCTCGTTACCCCTTACAAGTGTCTGCGCTTATCTCCCCAGACTTGGAAGCAGCAACATCCTCGTTTTTTACGGCTCCCCCGATACCTGGCCTCCTCTCCTTGTCTAAGGCGTCGGTGGCACCGACAGCACCTGGGTATCACAACGGTCAGCTCCAACAGGTCAACTGTTTGCAGAATCGCTTGCGGGCCACTCTGAAGGAAATAACTGCTTCCAGAAGATTGGGGTACTTGGCTTTCAAAGGTGACTACACTTTTGCTGTTCCTCGCTGAAGGACACCCCCCAGTGCTCCTCACCCTTTTAAGGCCAAAGAAGTGGTCAAGATAAGACCCGCGGCTCTGACCAACATCGATGTGATCGCCAACCCGGCAAGGGTGCCGGTGTGAAGTCCAAGCACTGACCTGTTGGAGTTCCATGACTGGGACCTTCCACCCACCCCCATACCTATAGGTGGGAGACTGGGCCAATTTTGGCAAAATTGGTGCATACTAGAGGGTATCTTTCTTCTGTCAGGGTTACCGTCTCCCGTTGGCACCACATCCACATCTGAGGATGCATAAACCCCAACAAAATCTCCTGTTGGACAGAGTCAACACTCCGCTTCGGAAAGGATGCCAAAGAGGTTGTTCAGGACCCGTACCAGACTTCGGGATTCTTCTCCCCCTTGTTTCTTATCTGAAGAAGGGCTCCAACAAACTCCGCATGATCAGCTTTACCTTGAATGTCCTCCCTACTACCGGATGACGTCGTTGAAGCTGCTCAGAACAAGAATCAATGCAGGCAATTCCCTGATTAGCCTCTCCACCCCAACGACTGGCGGTTCCTCAGGTTCTTTTCAAATGGTACACAGTACCAGTGGGCGATCCTACCGTTTGGAATTTCCACACAGATCACGTCAACTTTCAGTCTTACATAGATTACTGTCTCCTGAACAATCAGGACTTGGAATTTCTCCTGTGCCACAGGGATTTAACCTTTGACTCTTTCATCAGTTGGGAAGGATCACAATCAGACCAAATCAGAGCTGACTCCGTCCTTCCGTCTGCAATTCATCGGCAGCATGTCTCTCACAAACCAGGACCTCCCTCAAGTTACCAGGTACAGGTTGAAGGTTGAAGAGTCTCACCCATCTCCGTCCTGCCCTGCATCAGACTCGAACTCTTTGCCAGTGGCAGGTACTCTTGGGTCGCCTCACCTCGGCTCAAGACCTGACTGCCAGGGGTCGACTCCACTCCATCCTATCCAACAGTTTCTCGCCCCCTTCATTCGGTATCAGGATCCGAGATTCCCATCATCCTCCCGGTTCACCTGCAACCTTACATACGGTGGTGGACTGTTGAATTGAATGTCTTCGGCGGCGTCTCCTTGCACATGCTACTGCCTACGCTCCACCTGTTCGTCAGTGCATGCAAACAGGGTTAGGAAGCTCATTTGGTGACTCCGGAGGTCAACTCCATTTGCACTTCAACATCCTCTAGCTAGTGGCTGTCACTCTACGTCGGACCGCCTTCGTGGTCTAGTGGTAGAGCGTCAGCCCGGAGAGCGGATGGTCCGGGGTTCGATCCCCGGCCGCGTCATACCAAGAGACGTTAAAAGATGGTACTTGTTGTTACCCTGTCTGGCGCTCGGCATTAAGGGGTTAAAGCAAGGACTGGTCGGCTCGGAGTCAGTATACTGTGTCTGATTGGGGCATTCATGTTAAATTGCGGCATGGTATCTCAATGGGCTAGCACTATAAATCGGCATCAGTCCGTTCTAGTACAAGCAGCCAAAGACACACACACACACACACATGCATGAATGTCGCTATATAAGTGCAATAATCTTGGACGCGATGTTAAACCAAATTTCACCTCACCTCACCTCATTCTATGTCACGTCCAGTCAACCATATACACGGACAATATCACTGTCTACACCGAGTGGCAGCTCCACCCAGAGGTCTTCACTATGATTTGCCGAACAATCAACTCCCCTCAACATCCATCTGTTCATCCCCTGGGAAGTATTAAGCACGTACGTTTTTCTGCCACCGGTTCTCCTCCCCATGGTTCTTCAAGAGATCCAGGCCACTTGGAACCTGACTCTGATTTTGGTCGCACGATGGTGGACGGCGGGAAGTTGGTTTGTCGATCTCTGAGACCTCGCCAGAGACAACCCATTAGAACTTCCCGTTTGGCCCAACTTCCTGTTACACGCACACAGCCAGTTGCCACACACAAACCCTGCATGGTTTCATCTGCACGCCAGGCACATCTGCAGAAAGCCGTAGGAGCCAAGGGTTATTTGGCTAGAGCGGTCAAGGATATTGCTTTAGTCCACTGTCCATCTACAAAGGGACTGTATGACGACAAGTGGTGCTCCTTTCGATCCTTCTGGTCAGACAAACACCAGGATCCGATGACTATGTCGCTCCTTTACTTTCGCAGCACAGACCGCTTGAAAAGCTCTACCATATCTAAGTACCTGGTCGCCTATAACTCTGTGCTTGCCATCCTGGCCAATTGGAGAATGACGAAAATTCCTGAACTCCAGGCCTTGCTGGGCTCGTTTCTTCTTGACGATCAGAAAGCCAAGTTCAGACTGCATGCGTGCGATCTGAACGTGATTTTGCAGGCGCTTCGGACGGCTCCCTTCGGACCACTCCACTCGTCTTCTTTACGAAGAAGGCAGTGTTTCTACTGGCTTTGTCTACCACTGCACAGGTCAGTGAGCTACACACCCTTGACGTCTCCTGTGTCCTGTTTGAACGCAGTACTCATGGGGCCACTCATCTTGGGCTGTGCTGGGATTTAGTTGCCAAGTATTAACTCCCAGGACAGCCTGATAGATCGTTCACCATTCCTTTCCCCCTCGTCTCTTCCCTTCCCCCTTTCCAGAGATTCCCATCCTCCTCCCTGTTGAGGCTACCTGCTCCATTCTTTTTCTGCCACCTAATTCTTTTGCATGACCTCTCGTTTCCTTCTGACAGGAATGGTTGTGGATGTTCCGTTAATCACTTGTATGCAGTGTGCGGGTTCATTGGACCTTGACAAGGGTTTATTATGAATCACATCCGAAGGTATGCACACCTGCCACACCTTTGGATAAAGTTTTTAAAAAATTGTAAAATTTAATTTTTTTTACATCTCTGAACTTATCCTCCATTACTACGTCTAAGTGCCCACCCTTTGCTGTCCTACCTCCCTTAAAATTTCAGATGTTGTGTTTGAAGCAGTTATGTGCTCTTATGTGACGTCATTGCTTTCGGGTCATTCGCCGACTGTGTTAGGGTGCTGACAGCTATGGTTGGAACAACTTTTCTTTAGCAGCTGGATCTCACATAGTTTGTCTTTCTGTCAGAAAACAGCAGTATATGCATGAAGGAGTAATGAAGGCTAAGTATACAAATACGTCCAGATAACAAATATTAAAAAATGGTACTTGTAACCCAGCCTGGCTATTGGTATCAAGTGGATAAAAAAAAGACATGTTGGTTCCAAGTTGATATGCTCATGCACGCACGCATGCACGCACACACTTGAACATGCACATGCACATTCAGATCACTAGCTAAGTGCAATAACCTTTTACACTGCATTAAACCCCTCCACCTCCCCTCACATTGTTATATCGCATGCATTTCCGATATAAACCATTGGAAAAGCTGGGCCAGAATTGCAGCTATTGTTTTAAATTATTCTGCAAGCTTGATACTGAATATTAATAATTTATTTAAACATTGATAAGCCTGTAAAGATTTATGCTTAGTTTCTACCAAATGAATAATTGGGTTTTGTCAGTGTGTGAAACACATTCTTGGTCTTTCCACAGTGATCATGGTGGTATTGCTGGATTTTTAAAGCTGGCTAATGCACTCTACCAAATGCTTTGTCTTTAGGTGATTGACATAAGCCTCAGCAGAAGTTATGTCGGCCCTGACAACAATAGTTGCAGAAGTAACATGTACACGAAGTGCCAGTCAGAAACAACCAGTACTGGAGAAGGAGAGGGAAGTTGTTGCAACAGACCACACCATCCCTGGCAAACAAGAACCTATTGACTGGAGAAAGAGAGTCAAAGCTGAATATATGCGCTTATGTCACATGAAACGATTGAAGAGGGCAGATGAAGTGAAGGTATGTATGTGGTTTGTCAATGTTGAACACACTCAAGTGAAATGAAGTGTACAAAGATCACCGAAGATGGGCTTTCAGTCAATGGTTTGCAAGGCCCAGACCATTTTCAGACCTCGGCGATGTAGAGGAAACATTTCTCACCCTGGCCTGAAACACCGTTCACCTGCTCATCATGCTCAAAGTTAAAAAATGGATCTACCAGTATGCCATTCTACGTAACTTTTGTTGGAGAATGTTCTCCAGTGCTTGTCTCAATAGGCACACACAATCATTGCCACTTGGCCATGGTTGGATGTATCAGAAGTTTCAGAACATGAAATTTAATGGATTAATCTTGTATTTCACTTTAAATATGCACAACAGCATTGCTACTCTCATGTAAACAGGGCAATAAACAATAAATGATACATTTTTCATTGTTCATGTATATCTATTGTATCATGGGCAGTGTTTACGTTTACGGCGTCACATATACAAAAATACGCACTGAAAAAAATAGGACGCAAAAAACACAACATACACATGTCCCCTTACGCGTTTTTCATTCTGAAAAAAGGTTCACTTCACGCATAACTTATTTTTTGTTTGTTTTGTGTTTCTCTCGCTCCCCAAACCCATGTGATAATGTGTATCCAATATTCGCTGGGTCCCAGTGCTAGCCAGACTTCGGTGTAAACGCGGGAAGCTAAGAGGTATCTGATGACGTTTCTCTTCCTTGTCGTGTCTGTAATGGCATTGCTGATTGGTTTACAAAACGGAAATAGAAACATAAGCCAATCGCAGAGCTTGTTAACAGTATTTTGTCAATGTCAAGGACTAAGGGCCAAATGGCATCGCCGAAACTTTGTCAAAAGAAAAATAGGTTTCAAGAAAGTTTGCTTGAAGAGCCAATATACTCTTTCAACACCATAGGCCTGTAGACCGGCCAAGCCGTAGTCAAAATAGAGGGTATATCTATATAATTTTATGAACCTACCTGTCATATCATTCATCTATTAAATCTATCACATTTCACAATGTCTGAAATACGTATTCCATTTCAATTTATCACATTTTATCGATAGATTAAAAATTAGTCACTATTTCCCGCGATGTTATTGTAAATATAATTCTCTGACACACACTTCGACAATGGGTGCACATCGAACATGTCAAACAGCAAAATAAAGACGTTTCTTGCAAATCTTTAAATATAGTATACAAAGTAATAAATAAAATCAACCAAAATATATCTATAAGTTGTCAAACTTACAGCTAAGTTATTATTTCCATCTTTTCGTGCCATCGTGTGTAATGTAAATCAAATGACATCTTGGCTTTCGTCGCCTCACTTTCTCGGCTCGGATACGATGATTCCAATATGCCTGAAAAACCTTTGTCACAGCTCCTAACCTAGCACGATACATCCACGAAGTTCCATGTTTTTTAATATTGATCGCGAGTTTCTTGCTTGAAACGTTCAGAATAACAAAAACCTTTCACCAAAATCTTTAATTCATCACACACATACCATTTCTGTAATTTGATTGACAGCCTTTGGTCATGTGCTCTAGTTTGATCAATCACCACCCTCGTAGCAGAAATCGGCAAGAAAGCACATAACAGCTACAAAAAGACTCTGGGCGAGGTTTGTGCAGATGAAAATATAAACTTTCTAATACAAAGCTTCGAAAACAGACGTATTTCTTCGTGTTACTGAGCAGACAGCCGCTGTTATCGGGAAATTGGTGATGACAGATACTATTTACAATTATTTTAAAAATATTTCTCCGATCACGTAAACAATGAAAATAAAAAAGAAATAGGTAAGTGGATTTTATGATTTTTTATATTTGACAAAAATCGTCAAATTTTCGGTTCAATCTGGACGTTTGAATGTGTTAGCTAAATTCTTTTTATTTACAACTTACTTAAGTTGTAAATGCTTTATTTAAATAATGTGATAAACATAAATATGTATAAACAGTAGGATTAGACCTTTCAAATGGCGTGTATAAAATGTAGTTGAAAAGATGTTTTACTAGACTAATATTTAGTCTATGAAATCTTATACTACATAATACCCTTCTTGACTCTAAAAATATGAAACCATTATTTTATCAGGAATAATATATTCCAATATCGTGTTATTTTAGTTGCAGCTTTTTCAAAATATATTTAAAATAATAATAAAAATAGATATGCTGCAAAGCAACAATGGCGGGCTCCAAGTAACACTGTGCACAAGCGTCCCTGTTCGAATCCTCAAAGGGTTGTACCAAATCCGTCAAATGTAGGCACCACTTGCAGGGTATCACCTCTACGAAATTGTCATGTGCAGGGGTGTCCAAGTCTGTTCTAAACCCATTTCCGACCTTGAACATGATTGAATCCTTTGCTTGGTTTGCTTCTACCAACTCCGTAAAAAAATAGTCACCAGACATCGCCGCTACGAAATTGGCATGTTCCAGGGGTGTCCCAAATATTAATCAAATATTACCACCAAGCCGTGGTACTTTTAGCATGCAACCAAGAACAAAAGATGAGGTACATATGTCCAACGAACTTCATGTCAACTTTCAATAGTTTCTGTGGAGAACCTTACAAGATATGATCTTTAAAGTAAAAAAAAATCATCAAAATCAAAATCCAATAGGGCCGTCACTAAAAAGATATCCAAAAACGTCTAACAGAGTTTGATGTGTTATGTATGGAGACAACTCTCAGAAAGTTTGAAATCATTTCATGCAGTGGGTTCAGAGGAGATAGGATTTGAAGACATATTCCCCCAAAACCCTGTGAAAACCTTGAATCCAATATGGCTGCCAAACCACGTGAACAATGACCAAAGTCAAAGAACAAATAATGTCAAGCAGCCAAAGCAGCAGACACATGCAAAGTTTGAAAGTAATCGGAGAAGCAGCTTTTGAGCAATAGGGCAAAATATAGCTTCAAAAATTACTTGTTTTTCAGTTATCTGCCCTTGGCCATTGGGCCTACAGCCTTGGGTTTTTGGCGGAATCTAGTACTCAATGTTGTTCATACACATACAAAATTTGAACACAATCGATCAAGTGGTTACTTTGCTAGCTCTGGTACAAAAATCGGCGGAATAATAAAATAATAATAAATATAGCTGCAAGCAGCGATGTCGGGCTTTGTGCGTTACTGATTTATAGTAGCGGATCCTGGTTTACATTCGTGGAAGTCCATTCACAATATCTCACTTGGGTTACACAGAGAACTAAAACAATGAAACCGAGTTCTTAATGGCCCTAGGTTATGAGGCATTTCCAGTTGTCTTATAAGTCACTTCCAGTATCAGGAAGGATAAGTGCACTACTGTATCTGATTATTATATGGTCTTTATTACTAATATGATATTTAGGTGGTCCGTTTTGAGTAAGAAATATTTTTCAGTTTTGCCGATGCTCCAGTTTGGCATTTTTAAATGTGGTTACTCTATTTGCCCCCTTGGCAATTGAAGACCGCATTGACCGCCAATACGACCGCCAGTATCAACAGCTGTAGCCGAGAATAGTGTGTGGGCTGTTATGCACTACATGGGAAACAACGTAATGTACCAGGCGCAGTCCGTTTCTAGCCGAGAGCTGCGAGTCAAAACATAACCACAGCATGACCCTCAGTGTTTCGGGAAGTGTGTGTGGGGGGAGGGGGGGAATGATATAGATATATTGATCTACGTAATTGGAATACTATGATGACCAAGTCAGCAAACCTGACCATGCCTGACCATGTACCTGATCCCGTTAGTTGCCCCTTATGACACACATGGGTTGCCGAAGACCTATTGTGACCGGAATTTTCGCGTTATTGGAAGGTACATGTATAGAAAGCTTTTATAGAAAGGAATGAAGGATTCATTTTGTTTAGTCTTTTCAGTCCCTTTGAGTTCGTTATTGCCATAGTTTGATATATATACTTTGTTGTGATTTTATGCATATATTTAAGATGGCAGGGCTATCGACGACTTTGTCTTCTCATTAAACTCAAGGTCCACACTGTCTCTAAAATATTGACAGCTATTACTATCTTGACGTTATTATGTTCGCTACTTGTAAAGCCAAAGCCAACAGATATTAATCAGAAATGTGCATATACTATCTTTCAAAACTGAATCATCCAAAGTGAATGAGTGAGTTGGGTTTAACGCCGCTTTTAACAGTATTACAGTTATATTGCAACATGTCAGCTTAATGTGGGAGGAAAGCCCAAAGTGATGCAGGTCTCGGACGTTTACCACTTCAGTGAAACCCACGAGCACGGGAGAAACATAATCGGGGCGAACCGGGATTCGAACCCACAATGACAGGTTTCTGGCAGACGTTCACTAGTGGCGTTATGCAAGAAGTCTCTCTGACATGCGTAAACCATAGCCATAGAACACAGTTGCAGTTCACCAGGAAACAGGGCACAACATCACATCAGACATCACGGGTCGGTACTAATTCAAGAAATCAGTATGCTTATTGGAGAAGGCAGTTGCGATTCTGAATGATAAATGACAACTGGAAATAAAGGGGAAAAACCTCACTTAGGTGACAAATATATACATCTGTTGCAGAGCTCAAAGTTCACTTTTTGATTTACTTGTTGATAGCCAAGTAAATATTTTTAATCAGTAGCCAAAATGAAACGCAAGTGGCCATGCAACTTTTACCTATTACAATGATTACATGATAAATAACAGATTATGTTTATTTGAAGTTGTTATTTATTTTAATTGATCACAGTAAAAGACATCAAATTTAAACACAATATTGCAATAGTAACAATGTTAAATGTTTTAGCATTTATATATTAGCTGGCTCTCAAATATATGTTTGTTTTGAGAACTGTCAAATATGAAATGATAATGGATCAAGCTTGTACACAATGGTGTATGCCGGATGAGTAGATGTGACTAATCAATTTCAACCTGAGTTTAACCTGAAACAAAGTCTTGTAAGATTGAAAAAATCAAAATGTCAGTGAAATTGACTTTATTTAACTTGTCACTGATTTGTGTCAATTGAAAGTTCCCAGAGACTCTTGTGTGACAGATGAAGCCAACAGTTATCAAGGAAAATATCTGCTCGTAAACAGCTTTGCTACTACATGTTATACAGCATTTAAAAGGTCTTATCCTACTGTTCAAACATATGAAAGCTATGTTTATTACATTATTTAAATAATGCATTTACAATTTAATTAAGTTCATTGTAAATAAAAGAAATATAAGCTTACACATTCATAACGTCCAGATTATGGGCGAAGGAAGTGAAAATTGGACGATTTGCAGCAAATATAAGATTTCATAAAATACACTTACCTATTTCTTTTTTATTTTCATTGTTTACGTATTGGCAAATTATTTTTAAAATAGTTAAAAATAGTATCTGTCTTCACCCATTTCCTGATAACAGCAGCTGTCCGCAAAGTAACATGAAGAAATAACTCCGTTTTCGAAGCTTCATATGAATAACACAGACATCGAAGACTGCAATCTGACACACCATTAGCAAGCTTATTTTGCATCTACATGACAGTAACCGCGCCCGGAATATTTTTGTTGTTGAAACATAAAAATATATTGGATAAAAATTGGTTTCTAATGACACTTGCTTGCCGAAATCTGCTACAAGGTTCGCGATTGGTCAAATTTGAGCATGTGACCTAAGGCAGGCAATAAAAAAACAGCCTTGAGTCTTTACTCGTGTATGATGAATTTCAGATTTTGACGAAAGGATTTTGTTGAGTCATGTTATTCTGAACGTTTTAAGCAGGAAATCGCGATTTATATTAAAAATATGGACTTTATGGATGTATCTTGTTAGGTTACGAGCTGTGACAAAGATTTTTTTCATGCATATGTTTTGGCATAAACATCGTGTCCGAGCCGAGAATTCGAGGCAACGAAAGCCGAGATGTCATTTGACTTTCATTACACGAGATCGCACACAAAGATGAAAATAATAGTTTAGATGTAAGTTTGACAACTTTTAGATATATTTAAAATATTTTGTTGCATTTCTCAAACTTCACTGGCAAATGCGACCAAACCACTTGCAACTTTGAGCCCTGTGTTGTGTAGACATCAATGTTAATAATAGGTGAAAGGCTCTGTTGATCACTGCACAAACAAAAATATAAAATTAACATTATGTTTGCCCTGGGCTAGTTATGCTAGTCAGCGTTAGAAATTGGCACTAGTCCCATAGTCCTTGCCAAACTGCCCAGTAGTTATGGTATCATAAGGACTAGTAGAAATTTGCCATTTTTAAGGGTTTTGCTATATGTTATCATTTTAAGGACTAGTGGACTACAACTGTTAGTTTCTAGCACTGCTAGTGCACTTGTGTTGACTTCTCACAGGGTCCTGTCAAGTTAGGAAGATAACATGATATTACCCACTACACTTCAAGTTTCTAATTTTGATGTGATAAATATATTGCTTTTGATATTCGCTCATACATATACATGTAATAACAATGGTGTTTTTTTTATTTTCAGACATCATTTTCTGCAAACAGAAAGCATATTTCTGATGAAATTGAAAAACAGAATGTATGGATGAAACAACAGCCCTTTCAACCATTACTTGCACCGGAGACTTTTAGTCATGTTCCCGTTACAAGAAGGGTAAGCAGTGCCTTGCAAAGCCAAAGATATGATGTATTATCTCTTACACTACTCCGACGACAGGTGGTATGTTTTGCTATTTCCCTTCCATACAATGTAAAGATCTAGTCTGCAGCTTCAGCACTCAGTTCTAATAATAGTAATATCAGGCTTAAATAAATATTCTTGGTTCTCAGGCACCACCGCATCATGATAAAGTTCGGTTTTATTTCCATTTTAAAAAAAAATTAAGATCGTTAAAAATTCCGCATCTCAATCACATGACCCTGGCAGTGAAATACTTAAAATAATGCGATCTAATATGTCGTGCAATTACTTCCCTTTACAAGCGCAATGCTTTACTGTGCATCTTGTGTTATGCTCACTTATGGTCATGGTGGCAGTTGGAGTTTGTGGGCTTGTTTTGCCATTTGGTCCATGACAACATGAATTTTTATCCCCCGACATATAATGACGGGGGGATATAGCCATCAGTATGTCCGTCCGTCCGTCTGTAATCATTGTTTGTCCGGAGCATATTTCCTAAACCGTACAACCTAGCTTCACAAAACTTGGTACACTTACCAATCAGGCTCAGTAGTAGTGCCTTTTGCTATTTAGAGATTTTTAGAATTTTTTATTTTTGTCGTTTTGTCGTTTCCATGGAAATATGATGAACTTAGGAAATTTGAGGGTAGTGCTCTTGTCCGGACCATATCTCCCGAACCATACAAATTAGCTTCTCAAAAGTTTTTACACCTATCAAGCAGGTTATCTAGTGGTGCCTTTGCTATTAACATATCTACACCAATCTGCCAGATGGAAGCTTCCAGACAGGCACACTGGACACATACTGGTCAGATCACAAGATCACCTGGATAGCCATTCATAAATGATGGTAGGCTTACATTAATACTATTGTCTTATACATGCAATAACATTTTTTTCTAAGGTGTACTATTTACCGATATCATATACTATATATGATGTGAGCTACATAACCTAGTACATTCTCTTTATGCCTTTGTGTCATGAGGCTACTACAGAGCTATTCATATGCGAATCTGCGAAGTTATTGTTAATTACAATTTCATGAGATCATCAGAAAGTGAGCTACATGAACCAATATTTAATAACCTTCATTATATTTAGGGGTTTTGGCATCAAGGAAAAAGATTTCCTTGCCAATCTAAATACATTTGAAGGTACACACAGTTTACCGACATGCCACGTCGGGGGGATATGTCATCTTCGGATGACTCTTGTTTATCTTACTGATTGCCAATGACCCCCGGGCTAAGTGGTAACATAAAGGATGTGTCCTAGGCAGGGTTTTACCTTGACTTTCAAAAGTGGGGGTTCAGGGGACAGTGGTCATGATTGATGGGTAAAATAACAGACACCCATAACTGCTCTTGGTGCGCTGTAGGTACAATATAAGTTGTAGCAGGATCATGAGGGTTACATGGGGTTTTATGCATCCCGCATTAGGTTTTATATAACAAGCCGGAGGCGAGTGGTATGAAACCTAACGAGGGACGCATTAAACCCCATGTACAACTCATGATCCTACAACGAATTTATCTTACCAACATGTTTTAACATCAGCATAGTTCAAGCCAACACACCGATCACTACAATTCCTGCCACCATCCCCAGATAAAACAAGCCATCATCGTCACCCTGACACAATGTGCCAAATCCATTTGCCACCCTGATGCCCTCAGCAGTGAACTGGACCATCTCAAGGAAACCTTCACTTCCCACAACAATTACTATGCCCACCTTGTCTCAAAACCATCCGCAAGAACTCCCATCCCAGACCCAAACCTGCCACATCGCCCATCAGAATCACCATACCCTACCAAGGCCCTGTCACTTATCAGATTTCAAGAACAAAGCCAACACAGATGTCAACTTTTCTAGCAGCCAATCTACAAGCAATGGCAGAGGAAAGAGCAGTGTAGGTCCCAACCCCCGAGGATGTATATACCAGATCCCTGGAATTGTGGCCACCAGTTCATTAGAGAAACCCTCAGACCCCTCAACTCTGAGAACACAATACCTCTGTCAACAAATCTGAAATTTGCTATTTCCGAACACATCCTCAAGAACCAAGATCATAACATCATGTGGGAAACCACCAAAGTCCACAAAGAAAACTACAAGAAGCCATTGACATCAGGAGACACCAGCCAGCCATGAACTGTGACCAGGGAACCTATCTGCCCAGTGCTTGGAATTTATTGCTTTGATCTTTGTCGGTTCTGATGATGTAGCTGTCTTCCATTTGTCCATTGCTATTTCCATTCTTTTACCTATCAGTTCTGAAAAAATCTGGTCTCCCATTTGCCCATTGTCCATTGCCAATAACCAATCTGTGATAATTTCATCCTTGCTTCCATTTGTCCATAACTATCAGTGCTAATTACTGTAAAGTTTTGGCTTCCATTGTCTAATGCTAATCACCTAACAGTTTATCAAGGTGGGAGAATGTTTTGAGGTCCAAACCAGCAATAGTCCCAAATTGACATTGAAGGCCATTCTATAGATAGACTATGGTGAGAAAATGTATTAAATGATAACCTGCAGATGATTGTAGAAAGGGTGGTGGGTGGGTAAACAAAATATGTCATGCCTGAAAACCTCTTTAATATGGCGACTATCAAAAAACTCCTAGCCTGAAATGCATTATGGGTCAATTAGCCAAGGCACTGTGGGTGATTATTATTTGTGGGCTTGTTTTGCCATTCGCAAATTTGGTTAAAACATGAAGTTTTTCTTTTCCTGCATTCCTAATGCTTCTACTGCAATTTTTCTGACCTAGGAGACGGAGCTGTTGGAGGTCTGGGTACAGCAGTTGTTGTATCCACTAGTTGTGTGGCTTCCTTCCTCCTACAGCTACCACATGACTGGAAGTGGCAATCACATTGCTCCTTGACATTGGCCTGTACAGACGCCTGAGAACTGAGCTCCCCAGCATCCTCTGCCTATCCTTTTTCTTATCCTTTGATAACCAATATGTTCTCAATTAAGTAGTTTGTATTTAGGTGTACTAGGGTGGTCTTTACAGGCTTTCATTAGTGTAATTATTGCTTTTATTGCTTTTATTCCAAACTACGCCCCAGTCATCACTTATAGAAACCATTTTGATATTTTATTATGAACTTTGTTTCAAACACATGCCTTTTGATATGTTGGTATTTCTAAAAATGCCTTCAGGGGGCACTAAATTTGGAATCCAAGATAAATCTCTGTGGAGTTAATGACAAAATTTGTTATCAGTTTCTTTCACAATGTCTTGAATATTTTTCTGTCACCCATCTCAGTAATATACCAAACAAAATGTTGTGTTGCTGTCAAGTTTTATCATTTTCTTACCAACTTTTTCATGCGGCATACGACATTCACATTGGCCTACTATCACCTAGACCCTGTAATGAAATGCATGCATATAGCCTAATCTGTGATAATAAGCCTTAACTACGAAAACGTATACTACATGTATTAAAATATACTCACACGCAAAAGAAATGCAAGTCGAGTATGCAGTATACATGTTATTTATTTTCAACAGTAAAGACAAGAAATACTAGTAGGGCAAGATTGACAAAAATTTGACTGAAGACAGTTAAATGGACTAAAAGGCAGATGACATAATTGTTTTTTTCAAATGTTAAGGGCTTACACAGTTTCGGGTCAATATCCAAAATGTCAGTCAATACATAGTGTGACCACCATAAGCACTGATCACTGCCACACATCTTTTGTACATTGAGTGGATCAGACGATTTGTGAAGGCCCTAGGGATCCTCCTGCACACAACCAGAGCAGCTGTGCGTAGTTCATCAGCAGTTTTAGGGACTGGGTGCACATTGTGCCGACGCCTTTGAACCTCATCCCACAAGTGTTCGATGGGGTTCAGATCAGGGCTGAAGGCTGGCCATGGTAGAACACGGATGTTATGTTGTTGCAGAAAGGCCATGGTAGCTCTGGCAACATGGGGACAAGTGTTGTCCTGCTGGAAAATGTGTTGTTGATGTTGTGCAAAAAATGGAACAACGTGGGGTCTGATCACTTGGTCGATATACCGCTGAGCAGTGACGCCGTGTCCCCGAGCTTGACCAACATTCAGAAAGCACATGGGTCCAAGTCTCGCATTAAGTCCAATCCCTGCCCATATCTTCCGGGGTAGAATAGGTCTTCAGCAACCCATGCTTGCCGTAAAAGGTGACTATGCTTGTCGTAAAACAACTAACGGGATCGGGTGGTCAGGCTCGCTGACTTGGTTGATGCATGTCATCGATCCCAATTGCGTGGATCGATGCTCATGATATCAATCACTGGATTGTCTGGTCCAGACTCGATTATTTACAGACCATCGCATATAGCTGGAATATTGCTGAGTGCGGCGTAAAACAACAAACAAACAAACAAACAAAAAAACAAAAAACTGCCCATATCATGACGCTAGGTCCACCCCATGGATCCCTTTCCACAACGTTTTTGTCAGCGAAACGATCACCTCGACGCCGCCAAATTCTGACTCTTCCGTCTGCATGGGAGACACAAAAGCGACTTCATCAGAGAAGAGGACACGCCTCCACTCACGATGACGCCAATTGTGATGACCCTGTGCCCAATGAAGTCGGCCACAGTTTTATACCCACTACAGTTCGTGACAGTTCGTGCATTTTCGATTTCGCGAGAAATGGGTGCATGATACCCACATATTCATTTAAATGGTGCGTTTTGGCGATTCGTTTTTTATGTTGCGTTTTTACTCGGGGCTTCCAAAATCAACCCAAAATATTGAAACATCATCAGGCTTCACTACATGCTAAAACTCGTATCAATTTATGGTTCCGTGTTTGTTACCTTCTTGCTTAAAACAACTTGCGTTTCTTTTGTGGGTGAGTATATATGCCATGTCTTAAGTTAGGAACTCAAACATCGATGACAACACTTTATGTACCTATTGTAAAACATTAACAAAGCAACCTGGAATGAACGATCCTGTCGCCTAGCTTAGGACGTCCCTGTGGTTTTCCATTACATTGAATCACAGAACCTATATTTTAAGACATGACCATAGATATATCATTGGTTAGGCGAAAAGATAAACTGCCCTTACACTAGTGTGAAGTTTACTTATAGAGTTATCCATCTACAGTTAATACAGTAACATGTACTGCTCATGTGCTGCATACCACATGTGCTGTCCATTTAAACTTGGTCAATGCAGTGAGTTAGTGAAGCGAAAATAAATTGAAAGAAATCCGTGAAAATTAACTATAAATAAGTACAGACTGCCACCGTGGTCTCGTGTTAGAGCGTCTGCCCAGAGGGCAGAAGGTCGTGGGTTCGAAATCCGGATGCGTCATACCAAAGATGTTAAAAGATGGTCCTTGTTGTTACCCTGCCTGGCGCTCAACAGTAAGGGGCTGAAACACATGTGAAATATATGTACAAACAATCTTGTTTACAGAGTATTTGGCATGTTTATTATTAGAAATTGACTACAATTGGTATATATAGGCCTATTACAGGGTTTACTTATTTATCATGTTGATTGTGTTTGCATGCTGAATACAGTTAAGGATATGCTTTAAATTTATTATTAATAATAATCCTGATAACACTTACCATGCTCACAGCAGTGTCTTATATGTAATGGATGTTGTTTCAGTGTGAAGTAGTCAGCGGTGTCAACTTTCCTCCCCAAACATGCTCACTGCGGATGATGAAAGACCTGAAGCCAATCCCTTGCATGTACTGTTGGGCCCCTCTTCAGCAAAATTTCATGGTGAGTTCACTTTTTTGTGCAGGGATGCAGGAAATACAAAGTTGTCAGTAGGATAAACAGGATTTCTTTCAAACATTTATGCTCACCTGACCAAAAAGATTAAGTTAGCTACTATACCTATACTCTTGTGCATTTCGCAGGGAAATGGACCAGATGACGTATTTTGATACCCCAGTCCATCAAACAATAATTTAACTGGAAGAAACAAAACATTTAAATATAATGCAAACATTCATAATTTATTATTGCTACCACAAATATATTTAGCATTTAATCTCAACAAAACTTATGTTTCACTTTACCATATTTTCTTGAGTATAGTGTGCACCCATGTATAATGCGCACCCCCCTCTAGCAGAATTCAATATTTTTTGGGGAAAAAATTTGAATACCAAGCGCAGACATTTTTTTTACACCGTACCCCTTTAGCAAAGTCCGGCAAACGAACGAGTGATGAGAAACTTGGTCAGTACAAATTCTAAATTTGAGATAAAAAATCACCAGACATGTTGATTTACCGTTTAAATTGTAATTTTTGTTCTGCTAGGCATTGTTTTATATCCAGGGATTAAGATTATTAAGATGTATTTTCTCGTAAACTAAGCCGGACACAGCAATCAGCTGTACACACGTTTTCTTGGAATCTACCGGTGATTTGGTCAAGACACACCCAATGATATAACTTTACAGGATTTTAATGCAATGATCGGCAAAAATTGTATCTGAAACTATTTTTTTAGCAGGAATAATATATTCCAATATCTTGTTAATTTAGATGCAGTTTTTACTAAACATATTTAAAATGATAATAACCCTAAGTGAAGCAGCTGATCACTATTGCCGGGTATTATTTTTTACATGGAACCAGTCTGACCAGTCACCGTCAAGGCTCCCGTGCACGTGATTGCGAGAATGACGTGTTGACATAGAATCATCCAACACAAACAAATATGACTTTTAACGAGTCACAGTATGGCATTTATGATATATGTATCCATTCTCAATCAACTAAAGTTCGTTTCAAGGCGTCAGTAGCGGTAATCTGACCGTGGTTGCTGTTAATAACGGTGAGTTGTGCGATCTTCCGATCGCTTCACACACGATTTCGCCAAAATTAATTAAAACAATATTAAAAGGAGTTTTGAATAAAATTAATAAAATAAGTTACAAACATAAGTCCAGATATACAAAGAACACTTTTTATAGCCAGACAGTGTAATAACATGATTAATTTGCGTACTTTAGTATGGATTTGTTGACATAGTATTTCCCGTGTTACACGCTCACGGTAATGTCTTGCCATGGGGGAAAAAACATCAAAACTCATTAATTCGTGTATAATGTGCACACCCTTCTACACAGCTGTGTTGTTTTTTTTAAAGAGTGCGCACTATACTCAGGAAAGTACGGTGCTTGTTTATATCATCGGATTATATTTTTAGGGACATTATACATTTGGGACGGTCATGTTTATCGCGATTGTTCACACTATAACGTGGGGTGTGAAGTCACACAGGTATTGTAAATACTCAGATGATAGCTTGTTTTTAAGATCAAATGTTATATAGGTGAGCGGGACGTTTGACAGTTGTTAATTTGATTTTTTGTGAGAAAGCTTTGAATGTTTTGTAAGTAGCCGAAAACCAATAATACAAGGATATTCCATAGCTTAAGTAAACATTGTTTTACTTAAAAACAGCCCTTACTGCCGAAAAAGAATACAAAAAGTAATTCAGAAGTTACAAAATCAGCTTAAACAAGTGGAAACTCTATCAAAACATGAGCCTAAAAAATTCTGGAAACTATTAGATAAAGTTAGAACTTCCATTTCAGAAGGAATCTGTTTTTCCTGATCTTGAGGAGATGACAACCCACTTCAGGCATTTTTCAACACTTAAACAAATCAAATATATCTTCTCTGAGCACATAATTCATCAAGAGAGATGTCATGGAGATTAGCAAATATGTGACAGACTTAATAAACCGAAAAATGCAAATGAAATTCACACTTGTATAAAAGAGTTCAAAGCAAATAAAAGGAGAAGATAACATACGTAGTGAACTTTTGAAATCAAATGAACAGTACATGGATAGACCAATTGGTTCTACTGTTTTGTGATGTCTTAAAGGGGCACTGCTCTCTGACAATTTGCCAGGACTGGTTGTTGCCTTTTCACAATGTCAATGGTGAAAAAACAATAACAATGTATACCAGGAAATGGAGATAATAGATAATCCTTCCAAATGTAAAATTATCATATATGGTCAAGTGTCAACCCATGTCCCAGATGTGTCATGGTGTATAACAGATGAGACGATAACTGTCACATCAAGCACTACATACTTGGGCTTCAAGCTAAACAGGAATCTAAAACTGGCAGATTCAGTAGCAGAGGCTTGCAAAGGTAAAAGCATGTTTTCACGCACTGATGGGTATAGTTATGAAAGCAAAGGTCCTGACAGGACATGATTGGAGACCCCTGTTGTTGACTTTTCAATTTTGCAGTCTTGTAGACGACCTCATCTACCATGGCTTCCCACTCTACCACTGCCGCTTCCACTTTGTCAGTGGCTAGTGCTTCTGGGATCCCACGTTGTGACCTGCTGCGGTCCGAAGATCAACTCCATTGGCACAGCAACAGCCTCAAGATAAAAGCTTGCTGGCAGAGTATTCTAGGTCAGGCCCTGTTGATCATATCCATGGACAACATCATCATGATGTGGTCTTCCACTCTCCATCCCTGCTAAACCAGACCTTACGCTTCTTTGATTTGGTGGTCAGCTTGGACCTGTAGTAAGGATTTTGCTTTAGCTTAACATCCATCTACACACGGACTGTATGTCGACAAAGGCCCTCTGCTATGACAGACGCCAGGTTCCATTGACAGCGTCACCGCATTTTCTGGAGTTTGCGCAGCACACGTCAGTTGAAGGGCTCTACCATCTCTGTGTACCTGGATGTCCATTAACTCTGTGCTTACCGTCTCAGTCGATCGGAGAATGACGAAAATACCCGAAAACATTTTGAAGATCAGTAAGCCAAGTTCAGACCGCCTGCGTTGGATCTTCGTAGTTTTCCTGGCTCTTCAGACAGCTGCCTTCGAACCACTCGTCTTCCTTCTATGACCTTAAGAAGATGATGGTGTTCCCACTGGCTCTGACTACTGCTGTACCCCTCTTGTCACAGTTGGATGTCAGCTGGAATACAATTTTCTTGTGGCTTTGGAAAGCTTATAAAGTTGCTGGATTGGACCCACCCAAGGCTAACAACCCTTATGAGATCAAGGCAGTCACATCTACCATGGCTCTTCACAGTAACTGCTCCATCAAGTCGATCATGGAAGGCTGTTACTGGCGATCTGACATCGTCCTCGCCAGCCACTACCACCATGATGTAGCCTTTGAAGGTGTCATCGGCGTTCACAGTTTTGGTCCCCTGATTGTAGCCCAACAGGTCACCAATCCCTGACGCCACTGATTCTCTGATAACCTGAGCAGGGCCTGTCGACCTCTCTGGTGTTTATCATCCCAGACTAGAGGGCTCTAGTGCGTTCCTCAATTGCTCTTAGATCGTAGATGTTGGAGTCAACGCCAACGCCACTTATTGTCCAATTAGAGGGCCCTACTGCGTTCCACATTTGCTCTCAGGAATGGTCGTAGATGTTGATGCCGACTCCGCCAATTCTCATTCTATTTCTGTCACCTATTCAGGTTTTCCTTTTTGCATCGACTGTCGTTTCCTGAAGACAGGAATGGTCATAGATGTTCCGGTCATCACTTGTATCAGATTTATCGGACCGTGAGCAGGGTTTATATGGATCACATCTAGAGGTATCCCACCGGCTTGCCATTTGACAAAGATGTATTAAGGAGTAATGCAGTATAAGTTAAAAAGTTTAGTAAAATCTAAATAAATTTTACATTTGTATACTTATCCTGCCTTACAACATCTCAGTGCCCTCCCTTCACTACGCTGCCTCCCCATGAAGTTTCAGATGTTCTGTTTAAAGCAGTTATGTGTTTTGATGTGACGTCATTGTATTGCTCAAGACAAATTTGAGATTTGAGATAAAACATCACTCAAATTCTACTTGGTATTGTTTTGGATGTAGAGATTAAGATTACTGTGTGTACTTTCTCGTGAACTAAGCCTTTTTCCTTGTAAACTAAGCCGGAAACAGCAAGCAGCTGTACACACGTTGTTTCACAATCTACCTGTGATTTGGTTAAAACTTAGCCAATAATCAGTGTTTCCGTTAGCTTTTTTGTCAGTCGGTCATTGGACCGGCTGACTAAAAATATACCGGTCCTTATCATTTTCGGACGGTCCCCCATGTTGCTGTGTAAAAACATACCTTTCGATCAGAGTTTTCTCTTTTTATTTCTGAACTGTAGATTTGTTGCCGGAAGGTTATGACTTGCCGTATGTATGCGGTTTTGTAGACTGAAGCCGCGTTCGGCTGGTACGCTGCTGACAGGTATCGTCATGGCTACAGCTGCGAAAACAGCAAAATCTGGATAAATATCCTCATAATCAGCCATGATAACTCGACAATTCTGTTGAAGTGTGTGTGTTCCAAGTCCCACAACTGTAGTTTTAGTAGCTGGCGAGATCACGGTTGGCACGGTCACCATCTATGATATATGTGACGTCCTTATTTATTGTACCAATCACAGGACTGAAATGGGTAATCAGCTGATTTAGGGAATCCCTTCCATAGTTATTCAATTCTTCGCGTGAATCTGGGAAGTGAGATGGGTTCAGGACTTTGTCAAGACAAGTAAGGGTAGACAGACTGTTTTCAGGAAATCTGGCATGTAATGTACTGCACAATTCATCGATGAAGCCTGCACGTGAATTTTGAAAAGTGTGCACCGAGCGTGCATCTGCATATGTAACTTTCACACGACGAAAAACGCCGTTTGTGATGTTGTCAATCAACGATTGCTCATTTTCTCCTGGTGTTTTTAGCAATCTTTGCAATGAGTTGCAGGTTAGG